TGTGTGTGTGTGTGTGTGTGTGTGTGTGTGATTGGGTGGGGGTTGGGGGGGAGACCCATCCCCCACCAATCAATCAATCAATCAATCATTCAATCAAAAAAAAAAGGAAAAAAAAGCTATTTGTTTTGAGTCTGGTTTTGTTTTTGATTTTTTTTTAAATAATTTTTTAATGCTAAAAAAATAAACATAAAAATATGGGGATGTAGAGAGCAAAAGAATCTACACCCCCATATTTTTTTTATTTTTTTTTCACCTATGTTTTGCCTGCAAAAAAAAAATCCGCGGGCCAAGTTGTACCACATTCAACTCGGTTCAACGGGGAGTGGAAACGGGAGTTGAATGGGAGTTGAACCATTTAACTCAAAACCCCCGTTGAATCCAATTTCGGACACATAGGTAACGGCTAAAAGGCGATTGTGGCTGTCGAACGGTTTTATCCCCGCCTCGACCATGACCTTCTCAGCGTGATCGTTTCTGATATCCCGCCTGCTTCTTCTTCCTCTCCCCCAGTGAATCAATCGATCGCAGCCGTTAAAAGCGGTATCTCACCCGAACCCCATTCGCCAACCATAACCAACTTACACCTTGCCCAGATGATCCATACGGCCACTACCAAGCAGTCCGAATGGATGAGTTCCTTGATCCAAATGCAGGCCGCTCATATGGAACGGATGGAACAGATAATGAGTAGGCTGATCAAGCCTAACCCGGCCCCTGCTCGGCCGGCCCCCCCATCATTTCCGCTCTCACCTGCCCCACCTGCTCCGGGGTATGCACCTCAGTTCCCTCACCTAGCCAATCCAGCAGGAAAGACCGAGTGTTTTAACTGCAAACAACCCGGACACTTCGCTCGAGACTGCCCGCAGCCAAAGCATAGTCAGCCCCCACCTGTGGCGGCCCCTGTGGCCCTGAATCAAGGACGAGTGGCCGCATTTATGGATATGGCCCAAGGAGGGGAGCTCGTGGCATATGCCCCAGAGCAGCCTTCCTTTTCGACGACAATGGCGTCGACATCAGGAGCTTCTCCCTCTGACGCTGCGGACGTGGTTGATCCACTCGAATATCTTCATCTTGCATGCATGGTCGGAGCAATCCGATCGGCCCCTGATGATCTCGAATGGGTCGACCGCGAATCAAATCCTGGTCCGCAGTTTCGAACAGGAGAGATTGATGTGTTACAAGCACTCAAACAATTGGATATTCATGTTCCGATCCCGATGGGACATCTGCTCACCATATCTGAAGCGGCGAACGATAAACTTTTACAACATTGCCAGAAAAATCAAAAGCGCTTCACCTATCAGCGCATACAACGGATGCTGAAGGAGAAGGAAGGAAGCGAGGAAGTTGCACAGCCCGAACCCGAAGCCGGCGAACCTGAGGCTGCACGAATAGCAGCGATCTCTTTAGCAGAAAAATATCACTTCGTACGAGCTCGACCGGTACTATGGAAGAGCGCGGAATG